AGAGAAGAATTATATTAATGCGGATAGATGAATCATTTTTTTCTAATCTAAACTAATGTGAGAGTGGGGGGATCTTTTTTTTTTGCTCATCAAAGGCAGTTATATAAAAGTTGAAATCATGAATGAGAATAAATATTTAGGCATCTTAGGCCACAAAATAATTTTAATTAGAAGAAAGATGTACTCATTATGTTATTTGGGAACACTGACTAACCATTTGAATTATGTAATAATATAAGGTTAAATTGTAAAAAAAATTCTCCAGCGCAATTCTAATATTAGAAACAAAGTCGTAGGGAAGGTTACACAACCTAAGTGAATCATATGTTCATTTCATATAGGATTGCCCTTGAAGTTTCAAAAAATACAATTCTTAAAAATTTATGGTTCGTTATGATTATAATCAAAAATTAAGGCCCAATATTGTCATTTATAGGATTATATTTTATCAAGTCAGCATTCGCTAATGGTTAATATAATATTGATGTTATACAAATTGATCTCTCACAAGTGACAATAAAAGTAGAGTTGAAAGTATTTGTTTTTAGATGCCTTTAGTAGTCTTTATAACATGGGGGCGGTTTGGGTGACATGAATCCCTCATGTCATCCTATGACATGAGCCCTGATTAGGGCATCTACGATGTTCCTTTTGAAAAATTTATGGTTCCTACCCCCTAACCTTCCCGGTAAACCCCCCACCTTCGGCCCGACCCAAACACTACCCCTACACCCCCGTCAATTGCATGCCACAAGATTTAGTTGACTTTAGAGTCAAATTTTGACTCCAAAGCCAACTAAATCTTATGGTATGCAATTGACGGGGGCTGCAGGGATATGTTTGGTACGGGCCGGGGGGGTTACCGGTGGGGTTAGAGGGATAGGAACCACAAATTTTTTGAACGGAACATCGTATGAACCTCGTGTTATCCTATGACATTGAATCTCAATGTCATGGTAACCAAGGTGTTATAAGTTATAACATTATACAAAATTATTGTATACCTCAAAAATTTCCAAATTATTTTAATTTAGCTAAAAGTTTGACATATTAATTTTCAAATGTATGTAGTAAAATTATCATTAGCAAATGTTATATGCTTTATCATTATTTTAACTTTTATGTTCAATCTTTTATTTTGTTCGATTTTTGAAAAATGTTGCTGTAAAGAAAAATTACAAATTCGTTTCAAAAAAATAATTTAATCCCGTGCATAGCACGGGTCAAAATACTAGTATTAAAAAAACTCCAAGTCAAATTAAAAGTATGTTCCATTTTAAAATTAGTATTTTTCATTTTTAAATTTTTATTTTCCACTACTAACTTTGTGAACATTAATAGATTCGTGTAAAAAATTACTATTTTCCATTAATAATTTTATAAAATGATGAAGACTTGGTACATGAGTATTTATGTGTAAGAAATTTATAATTAATTGATGTTCATAATCAAAATATTTATGATATAATATCCATTGTTATAAGTGTAATTATTATTAAATACAATTCTTGAAAAACGTAAAACATGCTTTTTTGACATCTATTTCAAAATCTTTATCTTTATATATAAAATTCGAGAGTTAGACTTTTTGAATTATAACATGTGGCGCATTTATTGGGCAATTGTTCTAAGAACAAATAGATATTCTATGGACACATATTCCTTAGCATAATCACATTTAAAAAGTTTTATGTCTCAATTCATTGTTAAAAAATATTTAAATTAAATGATACATTTTGAAATTAAAAAAACTTATGTTAAAAACAATAAAAAAGAATACATTTATTCTAAGAACAAATAGATTGGTAGGACCAAACAAAATTACATGAAAATATTTGTTTTTACATGGAATTATTAATAATTGGAGAGATTTTCCAAATTTGAAAAAAGAAAAATAAATAAATGAAAGAAAAGGGATTTTTATGGGCATGATTATTTAACACATCATTAAATTTATTTTGTACATATTAAAAAAATTCTAAATCAAATTAAAAGTTCGTTCCATTTTAAAATTAGTATTTTTCGTTTTTAAACTTTTATTTTCCATTAATAAATTTGTAAAAATTTGTAGATTCGTGTAAAAAAATTACTATTTTTCATTAATAACTTTATAAAATGATGAAGACTTGGTACATGGGTATTTATCTGTAAGAAATTAATAATTAATTGGTGTTCCGAGTACAAATATTTATGGTATAATATTAATTGTTATAAGTGTAATTACTATCAAATAAAATTCTTGAAAAATGTAAAACATGCTTATTTTTACATCTATGTCAATATTTTTACATATAAAATTTGAGAGTGTGGGCTTTAGAATTGTGACGTGTGGCGCGCTTATTGAGCAATTTTTTTGACATATAAGCATGTCATGTCATCAAGTAATATTTAAAGAATTAGTTAAAAAAAACTTATTCTATAGACACATATTCCTTATCATAATTAAATTTAAAAAATTTTATATCTTAATTCATTGTTGGAAAATATTTAAATTAAATGATACATTTTGAAATTTAAAAAATTTATATTAAAAACAATAATAAAAAAATAAATTTATTTTAAGAATAGATAGATTGGTAGGACCAAACAAAATTGCATATAAATATTTGTTCTTACATAGAACTATTACTAATTGGAGAGATTTTACAATTTTGAAAAAAGAAAAATAAGTAAATGAAAGGAAAGGGATTTTATGGGCATGATTATTTAACAGATCATTAAATTTATTTCGTATATATTAAAAAATTCTAAGTCACATTAAAAGTATGTTTCATTTTAATATTATTTTTTTTCATTTTTAATTTTTTATTTTCCATTACTAACTTTGTTAAAATTTAAAGATTCATGTAAAAAAATTACTATTTTCCATTAATAATTTATAAAATGATGAAGACTTGGTACATGAGTATTTATGTATAAGAAATTAATAATTAATCGGTGTTCATAATCAAAATATTAATGGTTATAAATGTAATTACTATTAAATAAATTCTAAAACATTCTTATTTTGACATCTATGTCAAAATAATATAAATCAATAATATTCTTGCTTATTTATTTATCCGACCATTGACATTGATGTAACAAATATTAGTGGGTAATATAGTTTTTTTTATATTTTAAAGTTTTTAGATAAAAATATTTACAATATTTATTATATTATGGTTAATAAAGATATATAAGGAGAGGGATCATCATCGGCTATAGCCTTGCATCATCGAACTCGTTCGAGAAAGAGTGTACTCTGTGATGTGAGAAATGATATTTTTATTATTCTGAATTAAATATTTAATTTTTCAGTAATTTTTTCCCAAAAAATTATCTATACTGTGCTCTAATCAGAGAATAATTAGATACACACTTCATCATACTTTCAAGTGCGTAAGAGATAGAAGAGAACATGAATGCCATTTCCAGGTATTTTCAGTTGTTGTTGTTGTTGTTATTATTATTATTATTATTATTATTATCCCCTTGGTTCCCATGACATTGGGAATCAATGTCATGGGATACCCCGAAGATGCTTCAGTGTCCCTTTTGTAAAATTAACGATTACTATCTACCCTAATTTGAGACATAAAGAGTATTTCGTATTGATTCATTTTTATTGGGTCTTAATTCAGGTATTGTCTTTAATCAACTTTTTTCTATTGATGGGTCAAATCTATTCGAGTGTATTTGTGTTTAACTAAAAGAAATTCAAGAGCGTTTAATTTGTTTTCAATGAACATAAACATAACTATAAACTCTAAGATAAATTCTTACGTGGTTCTACGATCCATACTTTATTTTATGGATATTATGTATTCATATCATAAAAAATTAAGTCTTTTACAAAAAAATATGTCAGCTCATAAAAATGTGAGAAAATTCATATTTCGCATATGGACAAATCTTAGAACCACTAAATAACAACTCAAACACTAAATTACAAAATATTTCACATTGCGAAGTACTTAAGCAAATGAAATTTCAGAGCTAAAAGTGGAGCCAATTACTGCATGTTCTTTTTGAGTTAGAATTCTAAAATTAGATATTAAAAAATTGGAAGAAATTTATAAGAATTGTAAAAACTTGAAACGGGCACCTTGACCCCCAAATCATAATAAAATTGAGTTTGAACATATTCTATTCAACTTATTCTCATTGAAATTAGATCAAATTATATCACAAATAACTTTAAATAGAAATGGGAATTAGATTAGACCAAATCCGTCTTCAATAAAATCAAATGAGACAGCGAAGAGAACAAGCTCTTAGTGTCATCATATAATTGATGATTTCCCGTAAATATACTCTAACTAGTAACTAACATTTAAAACTTGTAAAATAATCAAATACAAGACTCATTGTTTTACGGGACAAAACAAGAAAAAAAAAGACTGACATTGTCCATTACAAAGTTTGTATACAATACGGGGTAGGAACCATTAATTTTGCAAACGGAACACAGAAAGTGCTCCAAAATGACAGTGGCACCGGAGTGTCACCGTACTACGGTGTCACTAGAACCTCACCATATATATATACACACACACACACACTAGAACCTCACACATATATATACACACACACACACACACACATATATATATACACACACACACACACATAACTACGGTGTTACCAGTTGCACACTGGGAATGCTAAGTGCGCTACGTTATTTAGGTGTTGTGTTTGATTGATGACCGCCAGCAGCACATCAACAAACAAAATGATGAATGAATGAATAGTTATGTCTTCTATGTTCTCTTCCTTGCAGCATAAGAGCGATATGCGGCCAATCCAACTATACCTACACCAGCTGCAACTGCAGTTTGAATTGAGAGACACAGTCAGTCTAAGAGATCATATTTAGTAGTGGTAGAAGAAAGTGTGGTTTTTGAGGTGATGATTAATCTTGTCATAAATTTATGGGAGTATTGGCATGAATTTTTCCAATCAAATATGGCGAGGACCTTAGTCAATTCACTTTACACTGTTTTCCTTTATTAGTTTGTTTAAATGGACTATTATTTGTGAATGGAGAGTTATTCAAATTACCCGAGGCAGAGACAAGAGAGCGGTTGACAAGCTGCCGAAAACGTTTCTGGTTGCGTCCAATTTGAGTTTCGGGAACACTCAAATGAGGGTGTTCAGCTGCATTTACAATTCGACTGAACACACTGTTCAAATCCCTCTCCTTCACGCTCAAATGAATAGGCGAATCAATCCTAAAATTCAGGCATATCTGTAACCAATTCAACAAACAAACGAACACATTGTTCATTTAGAGAGCAACGTTTTTGAACATCTGTATGTACAGAGGAATGAGCAATAAGGAGATTAGAGGGCAATTCCAATGTTATGAAAAGGCATAGGTGCTCACTAGGTGAAGACTAATCGGGATTAGGAGGGATCTAAGAGGGTGTTTGGTATGAAACAAAATAAAAACTTCACACGAAAAATATTGGCCTGCAAAAAGTTCATAGCATTTTGTTTGACACTTTTTCTAATGGCAAAATACTTTGCATGTTGAAAATTTTAACCAAACAATAGAATATGCCACATGCAAAGCAATTGTATTTCTACACTTCGCTTTGCGTGCAAACTTTTAATGATCATTCTACCAAACACCCCTCCCCCCAAAGTGGATTTAGGCGGACCAGACATGAGTAAAGAAGCGTGTAGGACCCACTACCCAGACATGGACTTATTCAGGCTAGGTGGGGATTTTGAAATAACGCCACATGATACAGAGGAGTGTTGTAACCAGCAACAAGATACTTGTACCTTTGCAGAATCTTTGATTGCCATTGGATATGAATCCAAATCATCTTTTGCAGCAATAAATAGACATGGCACACTGAAGCCACTAACTTCCCCCTGCCTCGCCACATCCATGAGTAATTCTGAAGTTCTTTTTAGAGAATACTCATCTGAACTGAAGAACAAATGAATCCAATATGACATATACTACAAAACGGAACCTCAGTCAAAGAACAAGGATATGTTTGAAAATGTTTAGAAAGCATATAATAAAAGAGGAGTGCAGTACAAACATACAGTAGGCACACAAGTTTATGAGAAGAAAGACCTCAGTATGGCCAAATGATGACCCAATAGTAAATCTGACATCGGAAAGGTAGATTTTTTTTTTTTTTTGCACTTTCGCATGTTAAGGTCTAGCACCTGGTGCATTTAGATTTTCTAGAATATATGGAAATAATATGTAGCAATTTTCCATGTCTTACTCAAAATGGTATCATATTCTCTTTAATCAATGATTTTCAGTTATACATGCATAACTGAAGCACACCTGTCAAGATGTGATTAGTTATGATACAAATATCTTTTTACACACCTGTCATATACAAACACAGCTATGTCACAAGCTGCTAAAGACTCCTTAGTAGATAATAGTTTTTTAATTTCATCTTCTGGGATCTCCCGAAGTATAAGAGTTTTCTTAATTCCCTGAAATGAAAGGCAAATTAATCATCAGACATTTTCTTTAACTTTCAATGGAATGTTTAAAGGCATTCACAACTGCAGCTGAGATACATATTCATATAACATGCTTATGTATGCTCTACATGATATCACATGGATCAAGACTCCTATGAAAAGATTTAATTACAAAGCTTTTCCTTCTGAATACTTTGTTAACAGTGTGCACAAATATGTGCATGTGAAGGATAGATTGCAAAATTTGCTCAAGGAAAAACGATACTCCCTCCATCTCCATATCAACTTTACACTTTCCATTTTTGGATGTTTAAAAATCAACTTTACACTTCACTTTCTCGTTCAAGAAGTAAATATGTGGACGACTTTTTTAGTGTTCTTGGCTCTATTACAATTGTAGTATCTTTCCATACTTTCTCAACCTAATGACACACAGTGTTTTTTTAACAAATGCCTTTCATGTCTGGTAATGAGGCCTCACATGTATTAGCACGAGCCTCTTAATCTTCTCAGAGCATGGGTGTGTGGGTTGACATACCCCCAAACTTTATTATTAATTTAATACAATTTCAGTTGGTTTTCAAAAAAAAACACCTTTCACTTTTCTTGAACTTCGTGAAGTGAAAATGCCAAATTGATATGGAGACAAAGGGGGTATTATGGTAGGACTCACCCCAGGACAGTCAACAGCATTTGCAACAAACCGCTCATCAGTTGTAGGTACATATTCATTAGAGAAGGGCCTGTAATTGATCACATCAAAATTCAAAACAAAAAATTATTCTTATAATAGACTAATGGGAACACTTCCAGATTAAAAAGATTAATTAGTTATAGGTCCGTTTGTGCACCTTCCCAAAAATGATTTCAATAAAGAAGATTTTCCCGCCTTTTTAGGTCCAAAAACAAAGCATTGGTAGACACTTCTATCTGATTGTTGCTTCTTACAGTCTACTGATCTCCGCCTAGTAACTCGGAGTACAGAGGCTGAATCACAGTTGTATCCAATATATGTTAAGTTGGCCAAACTATGAGATGGATCCACTGATGTCATAAGAGCCCACTGCAAAAAAAGTGAGCTAAATTAGACTTAACATTATCAGGAAAATGCCCTAATTGCATACAGAGAGAACACAAACAAAACAAGGCAAATAAACAAGCAGACTTCACACAATAAAAGTTCTACTATTTTGGGTTGGATAAACAGAGTTGGATGTTGGAAAGGGTTGGAAGAAACTAGAACCGGGAAGCTGTTGGAAGAATTTAAAAAGAGCTGGAAAGACCAGGAAGAAGTTTGAACAAATTGGAAGAGGTTGGAAGGATTTGGAAAAAGTTGTAAGATTGAAAGAAATATTTGGTCTAATTTTTTCATATTCTTTATTAATTTTGTCTCCTTTTACTTTTTTTATGTATGTTCCACTATTTGTCTCATACAATATTTAGTAATATTTCTGTGGCTAGCATTCATTCTTACTCATATTTTTTAAGATCAATATCAGCTGCGCATTTTTACACTTCTTAGTTTGCATGTCAGTAGCCCATGTCCCATCTAAACTTTTTCAATCCAAACTAAAAGCTTTTTATCAATCCAATTATTTTAATATCAATATTTTCATACTTTGGTAGATTGTGTCTACCAAAATTTATAAACTTTCATCATACATTATTATACTCCCTACATCCCATAAACTTTTATAAAAGGACATGATTCTGTTACTTCACACTAAACAATAAGAATCACAAAATACACAAATGTATGCAGTGGACAAAAATATTTTCAGAAAAACACATTATCACCAACAACTCTACTTTTTTACATTCAATTTTCCATTAATTGAATACACATAACCATCTAGAAGATGTCACTAAATTACTAAAACACAATGAATTTGTTTTTTATGTAAAGAATACATTTTACTTAAAATTATATTCTCATTTCCTTTTTTGGCACACTTTTACTTCTTTTAGTAAAAATAAGTATGTTTTTACACTCATCAACTTACATACTCTGTAGTTACTACATTTTACTCCAATTTTAAACTCAAAAAAGTGAGTAGGGACATTTAAACGAGGCAACCTAATGATTTAACATAGAATGGAATTTGCACAACTTTGAGTGGGTTCCAGTCATCCGAATCTCACCTCAGACAAGAATGCAGAAAGTGATAAACCCCCAAGTGGAGTTCTTTCAACTGCCTCCTTATATGGAGATTCTTCCAAGGGACTGAAATATCAGCCATAAATACTATAAGAAAAGAGTTCAAGAGGGAAAAGATATGATCACAAAAGTGTAACTGGTAAAGGAGTAATACTTTTCTGGCGCTGTTGAAAATAGTTCATCAAGCTCGGAACTTGTAAGCACACCATCCTATGAAGCACAGAGATTTAAATAAATAGGAATTAAGCAACTGTGTGAGCATGAGTTAGTATTACCCTAACAAAAGTTATAATTATACAATGAGGGAAGCTTTTATGACACCAAACATGATATCTTTTAAAGATCAAAAACACATCAAATATAAACTTGGGTAATTTAAGAACCACCAATGCATCACTGGGATAACACAAATTTATCTCTGAGTGAATGACCTTATATACACAAAAATTATGATAACAAAAAATATTTCACACAAGATGCTTATATACACAAGTGAACAATTGAACATCTAAAGTAAGATGCTTATATACCAAAAAAAATTATTTCAAGCAAAAGAAAAGTATGGGTTTAATTTGGGTTACCACGATTAACCAATTTTATTCCAAAACAATGAACAGAAACCAATCCCTGAACAGAATAAACTTCGGGTTTGTTAACCATACCGACTTCCATCATCTCTGATGGTGTCAAAGATTCACTATTGTTTGGCTTTGGGGTAATGATGAAATAAAGAAAAATGGCTCTTTAAACTGTTTGTGCTTCTTTCAATAGTGAAGTAGCAGCCAAAACCAGCCGCTCTATGTTTTAAATATAGGTGTCAGGCTGCATACATCCAACCCCCCTTACCCCGCATTTTGCGGGAGCCTTTGAGGCACTGGGGTACTGTTGTTGTTAACCATACCGACTTTTTTTCAGAAACTTTTCTGGTTCGCTAGTATTTTCAAATCAGTTTATTTGTTTTTCAGTTCAGTGTACGGTTTTGCTCACACCTTCACTGAAGGTCACATAGTAGCATATAAATATAACATATAATAGGGGTCAGGATCCATACTTTATCATCATCAAATGCACTAAAGATTCCCTTCAATAACTCAACAGCTTCGCTAGTTAATTCAATGCTCTGCAAGAAGGAAAGAACACCAAGTTAGCAAATATGAACAGGTGGATGTAGTGCATGTATAATGCAAATTTGTGCACCAAATTAGTAAACGAAATGTGAAGACACAAAGTTAAGTCTTTCTGATGCATAGGAAGCAATAATGTCTTCAAATGACCATAATACATATCAAAATGATTAGACTTCAAGGACACACATGCCTCTATTTGCTCCTGATGAATAATTAGCTCAGCTCAGCTCAACTTGTTTAATTTAATGCATATTATCGAAGTCAGCAAAAATTCCACGGTAACGATGGCTAAACTAATACTCGTCATATCCATGAGTTAGACACTGTGACCTTCAGATAAAACTCATTTATATTGATGGATATTAGTCCCCAATTCCCCTTCGATACTCCTCTCCGTTCTAAGTCCAACACAGCAAAACCATACCAAACATACCTGGTATATGTATATCCCATCCAAGAGTAGGGTTTGGAGAGGGAGATATATAGGAAGACGTTACCTCTAGCTCTAAAAGTATGGTGGCCACCCCCAACAAGAAGATAAATGTGGTGTGAATGGTGTGTTGCAAAAATACTTGAACAAAATATGCAAGAAATAAAATATTGTCCAATATGTATTTAGTAGGTATAGTATATACAAATTGACCCCTTGGTGTAAGACAAAACACAGGTAAGCACATAAATTCATGAAATCTTCTCAATTGCAAAAGCATAACCTTTTTGTCTCTTGAAACATGTTATACCTCTTACATTAACTGTAATGACTAATGAGAACGAACTGTAAAGTGATGATGATAATAATAGCTAATGAATTGAAAATCATGTACCTTCAACATTGTTAATAGAATACACTACATAAGAATGAAGCCCTTATAAGCCCAAGAAGATACATTGAGTTAGGATCTTAAGGCACCCAACAACAAACATCTTCCACATCAATCTAATAAGAAACTGAAAACTCCACTGTATTTTGATCCCATCATTCCAATTACAGAATACACCCACCCATCTCAATTTAATATGAGAGAAACCTAGGGGGTGGGGAAGAGGAAAGAACCCTTATGTTATACTCATACTTCGCATTATATTTATAGAATATTAGAGCAAACTATCTGGTTAGTGAATGACTTGCCTGATCCGGATATTTTTTAGATGGAATAGGCAAGCAATCACCCCTCAGTTTAATTTCATCATTGTACCCAAATTTCCTTAAAACTGTCCAAGTTGTCTCAAGACGGCCCTTTTCTATAAAAAGAGCGTGAAGAAAGAGAAACCCCGTCAAAGTAAGCCCAATATCATTGACACCTGCTGGTATCTTCTCCTTTACTACCCGTTTAACTCCTACTATTTCAGCTGGCTGTAGTGGTGCATTGAAACATTTGACCTGTCCATAGAGAATAGAGATGGAAAAATTAATGTATGAATAAGAGGGAACACATTCATTAAAAAAATGATAATATATTTTAGTTAGTTAGTTAAACGAAACGCTAGAGCAATGAATGACCTGAAAGTCATTAAGCTCTTCATCATTGAGAGCACCATCCTCGTCAAGATCAAAAAGGCTAAATATCCTTTTCAAAGCCCTAACACAACGGGGTTTAAGAGACTGGGATTCGTGATCAAATATGGGAGTTGTTGGATGAAGTACTGCCTTTTGTGCATAGTAGAATGCATCAATTACCTAGGATAAATAACAAAATGTATATCAGTGAAATACAAAATAACCATGCAAGTTAAGACACGAGGCAACATGAACTCCATGTGAAAAACCTGAACAAAATTAGCTGCAGAACATTCAATGCAAGTCTCAATCTCCCGAAACTGCCTCATGATAGGCCCCATGGCCTGTTCTAGATTCAGATGATGCTCCTCGCCTCGCTTATCTAGCTTGCATCCAACAATAACAATAGGTGCTTTGATCTATCCATCCATCCATTGCAAATGAATTAGAGTCAACTCGCCAACTCGGAACATTAATAAAATACGTAGCATAAATTAGATATTTAAGTATTAAACTTTTTAGCAGGTGTGCATTACATGTATACACTCTATTTTTAAGAAATCCCCCAAAAGAGGAGCAAAACATGTCTCTTATCGCCGAGTGACATATTTTTTTCTTCAAAATAGGACAATTGCACTGTGACAATGTGACATAGTTTATTAACACTCCACTGTTTTTTTAAATAAAATGTTGGCATTATTGACATTATAAGTCCTATTTTGAGATAAAAACAAGGCCTTATATTGGTTCTTTTCCAATGTTTGATACGGAGTATGAGATTCCATATCTCTCGATACCAGATTTCTTTTTCAATGTGTGTTGAGACATAAAAAGAATTCAAATTTGATATCTCAAGAAATCACAAATCCTCCAAATGAAGGGTCTGGGATTTGATATCTCCCTCGACCATCGACCATCCCCCACCACCGGCTACCACTGCCACCACTATCCACCATATTGCCAGTGATCCCCAACCAATCACTAATTAAATCATGATTTTAAATGTCTCCAAACAACTTCATTTCAGATTTCGAAACTCATATCATGTCTCCCTCTATTTTTTAACCTTTATGCATGCTTAACTCAAGTTGGAATGAAAGTGAGAGAAAAGAAAAACGGTAATGCATTGAAAAATCCATATATTCTGAAAATATGAAGAAGATGCATCAAAATTGATATGTAAATAAACCTCCAGGCGACGAAACTCCTGAAGCCAGAAAGAGCCCAAGCGATTCATAGAGGAGGGTTGATCGCACGCATAGGTCAATACTACTGAATCGGCTCGCTTCAATTCCTCCGCGAGCCTGCCTCTGCTTTCCAAACTGGATCGCAAATTTCATCGAATACAATCAATCATCAGCAAAGGCCACACACAGAAGCATTACCTAATAAAACGACAACAGTGCGCATCTCAAATGACCTCGATGATGTATCGATGATCGTAACCGGAACGTTCTCCGCAAAGAGATCTCCAGGTAGGCGAGTGGGAGGAAGCACCGGCTGAACATTCTCCGGGAAGGAATCGGAAGCAGCCGCCGCGATTAGACTGGACTTCCCGGTTGCGCGGTCGCCGACGACCACTACACGGACGCTGGTGCGGCCGCCGGATGCTGAAGCGCCGGGCATTTTGCTATGAAAGAGACGGTGACGCTGAGCGTGTGGCGAGAAGGATATAGAAATGGAATATATAGATTACTCCGTATTTTTTCTTTTTCTTTTGATAGATGATAGGAATAGGAATATAGTCTCAGACAGCTGTAGCCTTTTTTTCTTTCTTTTTTGGTTTCTTTTTCTCCAAGAGAAATAGTGGAGTATTACGCAATAAAAATTGTTTGTCAATTTTTTTGTTTCTTTTTCTCCAAGAAAAATATTCCCTATACGAGTATGGCCTTAATTTTTAAAAAAAAATATTGTAAAAAAATACAATTATTAATCCTCTTTTTGATGAAAAAAACCCACATTTTCATTTTCAATACAATTTTACTTTTTAAATAAAAAATAATCATAATTTGTCTTGACTATACATATTATTACTTACTCCCACCAATCTATAAAAAGATTACATTCTTTTTTATTTGAAAACTATGATTACTTTCACTTTCTACTTTTGGAATATTTTCTATGTGTCATATGAAGTATTTTCGTCTTTTGAGTATTATTTTTAATTATACAAATTTACTATTTTTGGTTTTCGTGGCTAGTATGAAACATTTTTTTTGCAAAAAATGATTGTTAGAGTGGAGGGACAAAACTAAAATATTTACCTCTTCATAATCTCAATTGAGTTGTGGTAGGGATACAGAGAAACATAGCGAACAACTGTTTGTGCACACGCATGTAGTTTATTTGTGTGTAACTACAAAAAAATTGGTGTCAAAATCCTAATGTACCCTTAACATTCTTGGATCTCGATACTCCTCGTAGTACCCACACGAACGGATAATGTTAAAATCCACCACAGTTGCCCTCATATTCCCGTAGATGATAACCACAATAATTCATGAGGCCGGTTCTTATGACATTGGAAAAAATTGACGGTTCCTACGGTTGGACAATGTCTTATCATGAATATATATATTTGCAATGTCTTTTGCCCATTGTCTTTTAGATTTTGATAATGACAAAAAGGTGTCAAAAGATCACCATTATATTATGCATCAAGGTTAAGAATCAAAGTTACAACAAGTTCATATTTGTCCGTGAAGGGGTTGAGCATCGGTTTTGTTTGATTGCTTTGTTTTTTTGTTAAAGAGTATCATAATCAGAAAATTGAGAAGAATATGATGAGTATATATGCTCTTTAATTGAACTAAGAATTAAGGAATCAATTGGATTCCTTCTTTGTTCAACTCTGAAGCTTATATATACGAGTACTTTTTCTCTCACATTTTTGATGTGGAATACTTTCTAACTTGAGCAATAACCAATGTCTATTTTGCTTCAATGGGGTCTATTATGAAATGCAGTGGAAGACAATGACAATGTGATCGCATAGCGGAGTGGATATCGCGTTAGACTCCGAATCTAAAGGTCGTGGGTTCAAATCCCACTGTGATCGCTTCTCTTTTTCATTTCCATTTCCACTAAAAAAATCAAGCTAGAAACATTTGCTCCATTGCAAATTGGACCAGAACCAATATGGTCATTGAATCCGCACAAACTACAACTATGGAGTTTAGAGTGATTTTCTTTACACATTAGTTGGAGTAAGATTTAAAATTGCCTCATGAAAGAAACATTGTTTTGTATATAGTAAAACAAAAGGATTCTCACAACATTGAAACCCCACCCCCTGGAGTTAGTCAAAATTGACCTCAAAGTCAAAATTAAATTAAGGATGCAAATGTGCAATTGAGGGGGGTGTTCGGGTCGTGGCAGAATGGGAATTTACCGGGGATTAGAGATAGGATATATTAATTTTATGAATAAAACACCGTAACAGCCTCGGATCGCACATGACATGGGGTCCCAATGTCGTGGGACCCTATGCCACTATGGTTTTTGTAAAGAAGAAAGTTAAAAAAAACTGACCATAGCCTGCATTAGTACATTAGGTTGTTTTGAAATCTGAGTTTAGAATATGATACGAAGTATGTCAGTAGTTCAAGTACTGCATCACATTGAAGTAATTTATAGATTTCATTGGTTTAAAAGAAGTATGCTAGTTTTAAATCATTAAAATTGCTGAAGTGAACTTCCAAAAGACAACATTTACATATATTCTTCAAATTTTAATCTCGAGACCCATAAATACTCTATGTTAGGAAAGTAATTAATTGTGGTGTTTTAGCTTGGCGAATTTTTAAAAAAAACTGTTGAAAATAAATAAAAAAAAAAGAGTAGTTAAAATGAGTAGTGAAGCACTATAAAAGAAAATGAACCCTAACTGCACAAGCCATTCACACTAATGATGTGCACAAGATAGCAACAAATATAAGAAAGAAATGACCAAATGCACCTCCTTGATTAAAGTACAAAATTCTAACAGGATATGAGGTACAAAATATAACAGCAATCACACAGTTCCATCATCATTCACCATCACCATCAACTCAAAAAAGAAGAAAAAAGAAGTTGCAAAACTTTTCAGAATTTTTTTAAAAAGGAAGCTGACCTTTAAAAGTGTGCCCACAAAATGTGAAGAAAACTAAAAACCCAATGCGGCCCGACAGCAATTCTACATCATAGGGTGTCATCTTCGATCAACGGAGGAGACATAGTAAGACAATTCCTCTCACTTAGCCATATCAGCGGTGGTGGTTCTTGGAGCAAGAATTTGAACTTCGTAAAGACTATTACATCATTTCTTGTGACTTCCTTACACAACGGCTCACCTTTTTCCTGAATTCATCCCGATTCTCTCTCCATTCTTTCTGTACACACACACACACACAGGGAAAATATATTGTTAAATCAACGGTTTAAGTAATATCTGTAGTTGGAAAAGGGGGAACCAATGGATCTGTAAAGTTGTTTCCATTCAAAACTCAGTACTTGGGGTGAAGATATGACTTATGTAGTTAAGTGTCAAGTGACTCAAGTATATGGTTCTTAATAGTTTGGAATTTAGTCCATTTGTCTACAAAAAAAGGTTACAAAAGAACTTCAAAGTCATGACGAACTTTGCGACACTTAGAAACCTTTCTTATATACTCAAAGCTATTGCAGTATTTAACTGATTCACATAAAGAAAATGATTGGAAAAAAAATATTAAGGAAAGCATAATAAGACTTACAGCAGCTTCAACATTGGCAGGGGACTCATCATTAGGGCTAGAAAGCATGGAAATTATACTCAAAACAATACTCTCAACCTGCGATAAAATACCCTTGGTCACGATGGAATAAATAAGATAATAAATGCAGAATGTATATTAATACACAAACAGTCACAAGAATGTATGTAAAGACAAGAAACCATTAAATTCCTTAACTTGAAAACTAAACAGAGCACAAATAAGAAAGGACAGAAGACCCCCCCCCCAGCAAACTCGTGTCTCCATCATGCAGAAACCTTTTGTATTAAGAGGTATCATGAAAGGGCAAATGCTTAAACTAGACCAGATAATCAAACTTACATAAAGCAATGAGAGAGAGATGGTTATAGGAAATACTACGTATGCGAATATAAAGTTAGCATCTTTTGCACAATACACATGTAAATCAAATAAAGTAGTGCATTAAAAAGGAAATAATATGCAATTTTTATTTTGTCATTTGCATTACAATTGATAATCTCGCACGAAATTAATTGAAATGAAGATCTAGTTATAGACTAGAATATGATCATGATTAATTTGAACTTTGAAGCAATACATATGAAAATTGAAAGATATGCAAATTCCACATAGTCAGTCACATTTTTTCCCAAAATATTCCGACAATCCTGCTGCTCGGTTAAATAAAAGATAAATTGAGTATTTATGTTGAAGCAACAAGAGAAGACATCTTTTGAACTCTGGTCATACCGTATGAACAGGTGACCAACGCTCACTAGCAAGCTCGTAACCATTCGGATCATCACCGGGTGGGTGAAGAATTGAAATGCAAACCTTCCCGTCGGCATATACTGTACACCACCAAAGATGAAAAAAATTACCGTAGTGATGATTGTAAACTTGACAATCATAATGTGAATTGTAGGTTACAAACCATTGGGATGCCACAGCTCTGAGGTAAATCTCACTCCAGGAGGACTATTTGGGTAATTTTGAGGAAAACTCATAATGGCATTGAAAAATCCCCCTTCACTGCATTCACAACATCAATAAAACTTACAATTACACATTATTCTTCATATATATAGACCACAATTTCCAAGTGCAATGAATAGAATGAACCCCACACATTCACTCTTGGTAGATGGAAGAGAATATTGCAAAACAAGCAAGTAATAGATTATAATACATTGTTATTGGGTGAAATTACATAGCATATCAAAAACCCTAACTCTATAAACAAGAACCGATATCAATCAAGAACTTATATTACAGAACACTGTCAAGATGACCCAAATCAGCCCCAATTGAACTCCAAACACCATAAGAAGTCACGAACTAAAGAGCCCGACCCACCAATGCATCCACAGAGACAAAACCCACCCACAAAACCAATTCAATTGCGCTAACCGATCTCATAAATTCCATAAATTGAAACTTGATTTGGGAAAACTCACTATAAAGTATCAGGAGGCCCAATAATCGTCACGCTCCATTCAAAGAGGTTGTTCTCGTCCACCAAGCCAGCCGAGAACCCATCGACGGGGTTTTTGCAGAGATCTGCAAGGGAAACAACGATCTCCGCATAAAATCAAACAGCAAGAAATCGGAAACTCAAATCGCCATCGAGAATCGGAAAGAAAAACGGGTGGGAATCGCGTTACCTCTTAGTTGTTTCTGGAGAAGAAGGCTGGCCTGGGACGGTGAAGGTGAAGCCATGGGAGAAGAGGGTTTAGAGCGAGAAAGAAGAGAGAAAGAGAGATGGGTTTCTTGATTTCTTCTTCCTTCTCTAGGGTCCCGAAAGAATCGCTGTAGAGGTGAGATCAGAGATTTATAAGATAGAGAGGGAGATGAAGAGATATACGGAGTAAATAAAAAGTACAATTGCAATGCTTCTCTTGTTCATGGAGCAAAAGTCTTTCCCCGGCCCTATTTGTTTCGCAAAAGACTTTAATTAGCATTAATGTTTGTAAATTATGGACTGATTTTGAAAAATATTAAACTTAAATGTTTTTTCTTTAATTATTTTTTTAAATGTTAATTTTAACCTTTAGTGTTATTGTAAAATAGGTTCTGAGTAAAAAGTTACTTAACGTTAGCGTTTATATTTAGCATTACCAAAGTTAATTTTCGCTATTTAAAATTACGTAGTAGCTTATAATGATAATACAATTAGACAGAAAAAGTGTGTAAGAATATATATTAAATTATAATAGAGACGATACTAATTAAAAGAATGACGCACTCAAGTTTCGCACAAATGATCATCATTTGTATCGCACAAATGATTATCATCTGTGCCATTTGTGTAAAGCTTAGATGCACTTATAGAAGCAATCATTTGGGACACCCTAGCATGACTTTTAATGGAATCAAAAAAATACACACCTTTAAAGTTTGCACAGGTCTTTAAAAATGATCCGATCATAATTTTGTAGCTGATCGATTCTTGTGACAATAAGCTCAATATCATAAAATGACCCAAGTCTCCTACGAGATTCCAAACTAACCCCCTAGACGAACAGTTTCCCAAGCCTCCTGTTAAGTCAAAATGAGAAGAAACTTATGAGACGAACAGTTTCCCAATGAATGTTTTGATTTTCCCAATGTTTTTTGAAATTAAGCTTTAATTTTATTTGACATTATAAGTTTTATTTGATTTAAACACTATTGGATGTCTTATTCTTTATATATGATGGTGTTTTAGTTACAAATAAGTTTTTCTCATTTTCTAAATTTAAAATGCATGCGAATATCATAGTGAATTAGACATGCATTGATACTCTTTTCATTCCGAAATCTTGAGAAGTAATACAGAGTATTATTTTTTTCTTTTATGTAGAAGAATAATGTTGCAATCTTAGAAGAGAAGATGTTTCGATTTAGGAGTTGTGCAAGGCCCACATGAATAAGTTACAAGAATGGCTAATGGCTCGGGACACTGTGCGAAGGAACGATGAATGTTCAACCGGTGGGTGCATGGCTACATGGCAAACTCCGAAGGGTTGTGGTCTCGTATATAAAGTTGATGTGAGTTTCAACCTGCAAGCTGAGATAGCGTTGGTCGATTAGAGGATGCTTAGATGGGCGAAGCAAATGGACTTCGGGAGGCGCTGAAGTGGTTGAGAACTGCATTTAGGCAACACGAACTTGTGGTGGAGATTGATAGCGAGGACGTTTTCTAGGCAATCCAAGATGGTGGAGAGAACTTTTTTCTTATTTTACATGGATTGGTTATGACTGTAAAATAGTGGTGCGACACTTTGATTTTTTTACATTGTCAGTTGTTAAGGGATCAACAAATCAAATTGCTCCTATACTTGTTCGAGCATCTAATTCTAAGTTTGATTGTTTGGGTTGTGTTATTGACCTTCATTTATATATGAGACGTTGCATTGCGATTTGAATTAGTATTGCTATTGTTGATTTATTAAAAAAGCATGTGTCAAACAAAATTTGAAAAGATATGTTATAATTTTTAATAATGATTGTTTTTTTACTTTTAATGAACGGTTGGCTCCATTCACCTTGTTTTTTCAACTAATTTTTACTAAAATCTGACTAGATCAGATTTAATCAGATTAGATCATATTAGATTAAAAATTACTTTAAAATAACTACAATCAGATCAGAGTTAATCAATTTAGACGAGGTGAACGTAACATAACGGAAAATTTATAAACAAAAGACACAATTGGTTGAGTAATAACGATTATGTCACCATAAAGTGTAGCATGCATTGTTGCCTAGAAATTTTGATTCGTAGAACCGGCCATAAAACTCTAGTGGCTCCGGACCTCCAGTGGTACCTGTTTTGAATGCATTAACAAGCTCGATCTCATGTACTCCCTCCGTCCACAAATAAACTTTATATTACGCGTTACAATGTTTGACTGAAGTTATTTTCAAATCATTTTATATGAAAAATGGTGTATAATTGAAAAATAAAAATTACATATTAAAAAACTATATCAAAAGATCTACAAAACTAGAGGTGACATGACTATATTATTTTATCAAATGAGTGACGAAAATAGGCCAACAAAGTGAATAGAGTTTGACCATGTGAATAGTGAACGTAAAATTTTTTTGTGGACGGAGGGAGTATTAGATTACTAATCGAAAAGGGAACTGTCTTCCATCAAGGGCATTTGTTCTAGTGGTATGATTCTCGCTTAGGGTGCGAGAGGTCCCGAGTTCAATTCTCGGAATGCCCCCAGAACTTTTTCAGTTTTTGAGTTCCCTTTTACGTCTTGTTTTTCCCCTTTTGAGTGCCCTTTTAATTTATTTTCCACGGTTTTTTTTTGTTTTGAGAACTTTATTTGGGGATTCTGAGGAAAGTTTTTTCTTGAAAAAAATTGATTTCATTTTTTAAATAATTTAAGAAAGTATTTTCTCTCATCTATAAAAAAATAATTTTCACTTGCTTTCAAAGAAAAATTCTCACTCGCATCTCTCGTCATTGCCACTATCAACCACTCATGCCTCACATACGTCCCCCATCTCAATGCCCCAACCCCTCACGCAGTCACGCCCCACCTTTAATCGCCATTATCTACAATGAACCCTTTGATCAAACTCTGTCGTGACACTGTTACCCCTCGTCACCTCCTACCTTCTTGTCCCCTCCACACTCCCCCTAACAACCTTGCATGTCTACCCCCATCCCACCCACCTCAATCCCCTATCCGGTCTACCCCACGTCTTCTGTCACTTACAAACTACTCTGTAGAATTTTTTGCCCCTGCCGCTTTCTCTATATCATGTACCAATACCTTCATCCTATGTTGCCCGCTCATGCCGTTAAAAAAGTTTAAAATTAGCTTTAAAATATATTTTTAAATATCAATTTTGAAGTTTTAACAATTTTTAAAAAATATTTTTTTTCTATCAAACAATGGAAAATGTGAGGGAAAAAATAATTTTTATTAGAAATCATCTTCCCCCAAAAAATACCTTCTCGGAAAATATTTTTCTCCCAACCAAACACACCATTATATTTTATTTTATGTACTCTTTCCGTCCTAAAATCTATTGCACAATTCCAAATTTATGTTAACTTTTGTCTGTTTGTATATTTAATGAATAATTTGATATATAATAAAAAAAATTGTAATTTTATTAAAACGGGATATTAATATATATGATTGAGTAAATTTACATCTACCTCAAAATGTAGCTCAAAGGTTTACACTTACATTTTGTATCAATGTAAGTCTGAGATTCATGATTTACATTGATACAAAATGTTAGTAAATAATTTTTATAATCGCGCTAATATTTTGTGTCAACGAAAGTTATCAAAATATCAGTGCAAATCTTCAGGATATATTTTGGGATACAATAATATTTGAGGTACACCTAGCATAGTTAGCATATTTATTTAAGATTTAGAATAATTAAACAAATCTATATTTAAAAATCGTTTGTTTTAAATAATATATGTTATGCAAAGACTTATATACTTTATTTGTCCTAAATCAAATCGATTGTTTCAGTATACGACGTTAGACTGAATTTATTTTCAACAAAATTCATTTGAGAATTTGAACGGAATTTAAAAAATATATATTAAAAAGTAACATCAAAAGCTCTGCGAAATAATATGTGACAAAATGAATAAAATTTGACGATATGAATAATAAATATTTAACTGACTTGAGAACGGAGGAAATATAATCTACATACTATACTATTGTTTAAAAAATCTATTCTTAAAAGCAGGGGAAAATGGCTCCATGGAATTCCCGCCCAAATGCACACGATTAAAAAGGTAAGACTTTTATGGTATTTAATTAAAAATGGTAACACGGTAAGACTTTTAGGTTATACTGATTTAAATTAGAAATTAAATAAAATCATGTATTTAATGCGTAGGAATAAAAAAAGGTTAGTTTTCTTTTTAGAAAGTGAATTGCGTAGTAATAATTTTTTAAATTACGATTTAAATATAAAGAAAAATTTATTGATTATACCTACATAGTACAATTTTAAAAAATTACATTAATAAAAAAAGGATTTATGGCTTTTAGTGTTTAATGTGTATGAATAAAAATGGTTGGTTTCTTTATTTGGGTCAATTGCGTAGACACACATTCCAATAATTTAAATTTAAATTATGATTTAAATATAAAAGAAATTAATTAGTTATACATACAAAGTAATATGTCCTCTAATTTTGTAAACTAAATTTCCGAACCTAACTACATAGTTAAATGCGAGAGTAATGTTAGAGTCACAAACAAACATTTCACAAAATTCACAAACTTATCTTTTTAACACTTTCCTAGAAATAAGATGCACTCAAATAATAAAAGATATTTTAATTTGAAATCCACAAAAGGCGAGTTTGTGAAATATGTGAACTATATGTTTGTGACTCTAGCATTTTCCTAAATGCGATGATATTTATTTAAAAAACAATTATTTCCCTTTTCAGTTTTTGTGTATAAATAGTGATAAATGTCGTGTTGAGAAAAACATATACCCTCATCGACATTATATTATATTATTTATGCTCTTTAATACAAACATTAGTATATAATCATGGGTGTGTCGTCGACGTTCGACAAAATTGATGCTACAAAATTATAGGTAATATAGTTCTATTTTTAATTAAACTTATTTGATCGATTTTATTTTAAAATAAACTTATTTGATTATAAGTTTAAAACTAAAAAAGATATGATGCTACAAAATTATAGGTAATAGAAATTAAAATAATAAAAAAATAAATAAAGTTTGACCGTGCAAATAGTACCTAGAAAAACAGTTTTAGAATGGCACAACTATACTATATTTAAAAGAGAGGGGAATTCTCCTTTGCAATTTCTAGCCTAAATGGTGTTCAATCACAAAAGGTAAGCGCTCAACATAAATAGGTAAGTGTTAAATCCAATAGTGGCGTATATAAGGTAATAAATATTTATGAATT